CCCCAAAACCCCAAAACCCCAAAACCCCAAAACCCCAAACATTCCAATAAATTGCCTACTAAATTAAAAACCAAAAATGAATACCTCACTTCCAAGCCCCTCCACCCCTATCCACAACACCTCCTCTCCTCTCTCTTCAAACTCTATCAACTCAGAAGGACCCAACAGCTCTAGTCGATCCAAATCACATTCCTGTTCAAACTAGAGCACCTGAAGACCCTAAAAGAGTAAATATAGCTAAGTTCAACTCACAATCTATTTTATCTATATTATCTCTAGTGACTTGTGTAATCCCTGAGATCTATAATATGGCTATGATTAGCAACTATGGCACTGTTGTTCAAGTAGCTGGACTAGGCCTCGGAGTAATGTTTATCAGCATGTTTGTGTTTGGAACTTTTGAAGGTCTCAATGGAGCCATAGATACTTTGGCGTCACAATACTATGGTTCAGGAGATTATAGAGGATGCAACCTTGTCTTGAATAGAGCTAGGGTTATCAATTCTTTCATCTTTATCCCTGTCGCAATAATACTTGCATTATCCAAAGAAATCTTAATCTTTTTCGATCAAGATCCAGAAGTGTCAAGCGTTGCACACACCTTCCTCCTCTACCAAATTCCAGGAATGTTTGTATGCGTCCACTTCGACACACTAAGAAGATACATCCAATGAATGGGCCATTTCAATCTAATCCTCAAAGGAAGCTTATGAAGTGCTCTATTCCATGTCCTCACACTCTCTTTACTTCTCAAATATGTCGAAGGGGATCCAGTTATAATTTGTGCTCTAGTTTGGGATTTATCGATTGTTGTCAATCATTTACTTCTCGTTTATTTCTCTAATGATATCTTGAAAGAAGTAAATAAGTTGCCAGTGTTTGAAGGTGCTTTCACTGAATGGTGGAGCTACCTCTCACTAGCTTTGCCATCTGGATTCATAATTTGCTGTGAATGGTGGATGTACGAAGTACTCACCATACTAACAGGATGGATTGGAGTGATTGAACTTGCAACAATTGTTATTATTTTCAACACTCACAACTTTGTCTATGACTTCTCTTATGGATTATCTCAATCGACTAGCTCAGCCATTGGAAGGACATTGGCAGAGTTTGGAAAAGCAGAAGCTAAAAGATTGTTAAATTATATTCTAACTATTGTAGTGTGTTTAAACTTTCTCATGACTACAATTTATTTTCTATTTCCAAAACAAATCATAGGAATCTTTTCTGAAGAAAAAGAAATTGTTGATCTGTATAACAAAAGCTTGTACTACATCATCGCTATGTTTGTGATAGACTCTTTCCAGATCGTAATAGGAGGAGTCATCAGAGGAATCGGTGAGCAAGGCGAATCCTCAGTTGCTAGTTTTATCTCATATGGAGCCATCACTTTACCTTCAGCAGTTATACTAGCATTTCCAGTTGGAATGGGAATGCAAGGCATCATCTTGGGCTACACTCTTGGAATATTTGGTAACGCAGTGATGAACACTTATTTGCTGGTCAAATCTGACTGGGAACTGAAAATTGAAAATATTGAAGATCTTAGTTTTGTCCAAATAGAAATGACTTAATTTCTAAATTTAGATGCTGAAAGTAATGAATTAAGCTAAGACTTCTGATTTATATTTTTCTATTGAAGACATCAACTGTAACACATTAATTTAGATAAAAAGCTTAAATTTTGACCTTTAAACTCTGAAAGTTCTGCTCGATGAGCTAGCTCAATTCCCTCATTCAATCTGGAATTAATATTTTGGGGTTTTGGGGTTTTGGGGTTTTGGGGTTTTGGGG